AAAGCCACTCACCATTCTGGTAGAGTTCCTCGCATTCTGACACCAGGAACAAATTCCTCTAAAGCCACTCACCATTCTGGTAGAGTTCCTCGCATTCTGACACCAGGAACAAATCCTCTAAAGGCACTCACCATTCTGGTAGAGTTCCTCGCATTCTGACACCAGGAACAAATCCCTCTAAAGCCACTTACCATTCTGATAGAGTTCCTCGCATTCTGACACCAGGAACAAATCCCTCTAAAGCCACTCACCATTCTGGTAGAGTTCCTCGCATTCTGACACCAGGAACAAATCCCTCTAAAGCCACTCACCATTCTGGTAGAGTTCCTCGTCCCTCCACTGACGGTTCACCTTCTGAAGATTTCTCACAATCCTGTTGTGCTCTCGTAAGAAGATTGTGTGCAATGTGGCTAGTCCTGGCTGTTCACTGGCACGAGAGTCACCTAAATGAAAAAATCTGAGTTTAAAGACATGCGAGTGTTACCTTAATAAAACGATCAGATTGGAAAAGAAGACGAGTAACATTAGAAAGAAAAGTAAAACTTTTAAAAATAAACGAGTGTAACCTATAAACAAATATCAAATTTGAAAGGCAGACGAGTATCGTCCACACATAAATATCATATTTTACTGAAAAATGCATTTGCATAGATTAAATTTTTCGATATTTCTTCCTTATCAACGGAACACTTATTTGAAAGTTTCAAACTAACTTGGAGACTATCAACAAAAGACGCTGATTATCGAACAAAAATAACAATTATTCGTGATAAACAGAGAATATTCCCACGATCCTCACAGAAAGTTGTTGATTGGAACCTCCTTCTGTATCTGAACCCACAATAATTAGATACCCTCCCAACTAAACATGGCAATACAGCCACCACAATAATTAGATACCCTCTCAACCAAACATGACAATACAGCCACCACAATAATTAGATACCCTCCCAACCAAACATGGCAATACAGCCACCACAATAATTAGATACCCTCTCAACCAAACATGGCGTTCTAGCCACCACAATAATTAGATAGCCTCCCAACCAAACATGGCAAAACAGTCACCACAATAATTAGATACCCTCCCAACCAAACATGGCGTTCCAGCCATTCAAAAAAAAAGTTCTTTTGAAGGGGGAATGAGAGCTACAGAGAATTTTTTTGAATCTTACTTCTCCAACATTAACAGTACATAAACAAACTGAGAGCTAAGATTCGATAACTGATATAATACTAAAGAATGGATAACTGATATAATACTAAAGAATGGATAACTGATATAATACTAAAGAATGGATAACTGATATAATACTAAAGAATGGATAACTGATATAATACTAAAGAATGAATAACTGATATAATACTAAAGAATGGATAACTGATATAATACTAAAGAATGAATAACTGATATAATACTAAAGAATGGATAACTGATATAATACTAAAGAATGGATAACTGATATAATACTAAAGACCTTAAACAACAACCAAACAAACTAAAATACAGAACGTTTCTTAGTTTGGTTTGTTTAAATTTCGCGCGAAGCTACTCTAGAGCGATCAGTGATGGTCGTCCCGTATTTAGAAGTGATTGATTGAAGGAATGGCAGTAACCCCGCCCACTGCAAATTCTTGGGCTACGACTAGTGGAATTGACCGTCACGGTTGAAAGGGCGAGCATGATCGGTGACGGGGACTCGAACCAAGAGCCCTAACCACCAGGCCAGAACGTTTCTTGTGAAATAAGATCTCCAATACACATTCTGCGTCATTTTTATAACTTTTATACGGTTCACTACCGATGGGTTCCGCATATTGTATAACATTCAGTTATTTTGTTTTTGCCTATTACAACAGTCAGTTTAAAAACAGACAAAACAAGCAGGAAGAAAGTCATTTATTTTCTGTGTAATATACACAGCAGTATTTGGTGGTCTTAGGGACCTTGTAACCAACAATGTCTTGAGGATCTTGTAACCAACAATGTCTTATGGACCTTGTAACCAACAATGTGTTGGAGCCATGCAGCCAACAATGTTTTAGGGACCTTGTAACCAACAATGTCTTGAGGATCTTGTAACCAACAATGTCTTATGGACCTTGTAACTAACAATGTCTTATGGACCTTGTAACCAACAATGTGTTGGGGCCATGCAGCCAACAATGTTTTAGGAACCTTGTAACCAACAATGTCTTATGGACCTTGTAACCAACAATATGTTGGGGACCTTGTAACCAACAATGTCTTGGGGATCATGTAACTAACACTGCTTTAGGGACCTTGTAACCAACAATATATTAGGGACCTTGTAGCCAACAATGTTTTAGAGACCTTGTAGCCAACAATGCTTTAGGGACCTTGTAGCCAACAATGTCTTGGGGATCTTGTAACCAACAATGCTTTAGGGACCTTGTAGCCAACAATGTTTTAGGGACCTTGTAGCCAACAATGTCTTAGGGACCTTGTAACCAACAATGTCTTGGGGATCTTGTAACCAACAATGTTTTAGGGACCTTGTAGCCAACTATGTCTTAGGGACCTTGTAACCAACAATGTCTTGGGGATCTTGTAACCAACAATATGTTGGGGATCTTGTAACCAACAATGTTTTAGGGACCTTGTAACCAACAATGTCTTAGGGACCTTGTAGCCAACAATGTTTTAGGGACCTTGTAACCAACAATGTTTTAGGGACCTTGTAACCAACATTGTCTTGGGGATCATGTAACTAACAATGCTTTAGGGACCTTGTAGCCAACTATGTCTTAGGGACCTTGTAACCAACAATGTCTTGGGGATCTTGTAACCAACAATGTCTAGGACATACAAACAATTTGGTTAATAAATAGTTTTAATAACGTGCTTCAACAACAGATATGAACCTGTCAGTAATTCAAGGGTTAAACAGTAAACCTACACAGTTATATATATATAGTCACCTGTACAACGGCCAGGCATCAGTGATATTACACAAAGACGTCACACACATGGTTGAACATGTATAGTCAACAAACTTTGTTAGTTGATTAAGAAAATAACTTTAATTGTGTTTAATTGCAATTGCAGTGACTGATAGATGCGCTGTTGAAAGCTTACCAGCTTCGAAACAAACACCAGAGGACGCTCTACATTCACTATGAGCTGAAGTTTGTGGTAGCAAGTCATTTTCTCCTGAAGGATGAGGAGTCGTTTTCAATCTTCCTCCACTAAAGGTCCTCAGTTTCTGAGCGTCACAATTATCAGATCCGTAAACTTGAGACGCGTCAAGGAACGACGTCACCTGATTTATTTGTTCTCGCCGCCCTGAAACAAAGATAAGTCTTTGACACTTCACTTAATACATGTTTTTACTTTTCTGAATAGAACTGCTGTAATTGAAGTGAGTCATTATAGTAGTACCTGTTGTTTTCATTGTTCGTTGTGTTTTTTTCAGATATTCTGACCATCTACTTTGGTCGTCCCTAATTTTGAGCTGATAGGCTAGATGACAGGCAGCTAGCCAACAGTATCCACCGCCAACTTTTAATAAACTTTAATTAACTAGTCGGATTTCACCATTATTCGTATAATGCACCCAAAGTGCGGAGTGTGATTTTGAGGCAACAGGATGCGAACCATGAACCCTCGGATTCTCAGTCCAGCACGCTGACTACGAGACTAAGCTTGGCCAATATTTTTTACTTTCTACCCGGGTATATGTGAACGTTGTTAAAAGGACAATGAAGGCTTTCTGTTGACTTACCTAAATTTAGTTGGCCAGGCATTGAACGAACGAACGAAATGCACATTGGTCGTCCTGTGGTTAGATCAACGGCTGGGTAAAATGGGTCATTCTTGGGTAAAGGAATAGGCAGACATTCTGGATGAACAGTACGTCCAGAATCGCAGTCTTTACAGCTCAAAACTGATCCAAGGGGACCTTTGATGAAAACACAAGAATGTTACTCCAGAGTGTTCAAATCTGATCCTAGATGAAAACAGAACTTTATGTTTTTAGATTGAAAAATCACAGGAATGTCCAGAACTGGTCGAAAGAGACCTATTATGAAAACACAAGAATGTTACTCCAGAGTGTTCAAATCTGATCCTAGATGAAAACAGAACTTTATGTTTTTAGATTGAAAAATCACAGGAATGTTCAGAACTGGTCCAAAGGGACCTTTGATGAAAACACAAGAATGTTACTCCAGAGTGTTCAAATCTGATCCTAGATGAAAACAGAACTTTATGTTTTTAGATTGAAAAATCACAAAAATGTCCAGAACTGGTCCAAAGGGACCTATCATGAAAATAAAACAACAAAATTAAATAATAGGTTGAACAATCGTCAAGTTATTTATATTTTACTATTTTTTATTAATTATTTATTTTATCAAGAAAATATAAATAACTTGGTGATTATTCAACCTATTATTTAATTTTGACTTATGAAAACACAACTCCAGGCTGATAACCACGGGAATGTCCAGAACTGATCCTACCACAAATAAAACATTAAAAATACCCAAAGAACACTTGCAATAACATACCACCACAACAAAGGGGACGCACAATAAAAAATAACAACACATGGGACATACAATAAAACAACAACACAGGAGACATACAGTAAAACACAACAACAACAGCACAGGAGACGTACAATAAAAACAACAACACAGAGGGACATACAATAAAACAACAACAACACAGTGGACATACAATAAAACAACAACAACACGGGGACATACAATAAAACACAACAACAACACGGGGACATACAATAAAACTCAACAACAACACAGGGGACATACAATAAAACACAACAGGACCATCAATAAAAGCAAACTCAGAAGAGATGTGATAAACATCACAGTGTTATTATAATATGTTGAAAATTCAAAACTGTTACAAAGTAACACACACACACAATATTTACCAACCTTGGTTCATTGGGGTGAAAGTCAAGTCATGGTCCAAAAACTGTGCAAACTGCATTAGAATCAAAGAATTTCGAATGTGGGGAGCGCTTACGTCATAATGCACTGTTGTCGAGATTACTCTTGGGGAAGGAAGAGGCCTCCCATGAACACCATGGCTCCTCGCTGTGCTCATACCTGACATAGAAAACGGATTAGTAACTAACTCTACCTGGTGTGAAGCGGAAAGATTAACGAAGGTTGTGAAAACATTGCTGGATTAAAATAATTAATTAGTTTTTACACTTGTTTGTAGAATTTTTCTTCAAGATAAGATCTACTTTTTCTTTATCTATCCCAATTACACTGCTCTATCTTACTATCAGAACTTTTCTTACCATCTTGTGACTAGAGAAGAAACTTTCAAAACGTTTCTTACCGTCTTGTGACTAGAGAAGAAACTTTCCAAACGTTTCTTACCGTCTTGTGACTAGAGAAGAAACTTTCAAAACGTTTCTTACCGTCTTGTGACTAGAGAAGAAACTTTCAAAACGTTTCTTACCGTCTTGTGACTAAAGAAGAAACGTTCAAAACGTTTCTTACCATCTTGTGACTAGAGAAGAAACTTTCAAAACGTTTCTTACCGTCTTGTGACTAAAGAAGAAACTTCCAAACGTTTCTTACCGTCTTGATACATAGGTGGAAGAATCCGGTGAAAGGTGGTCATACTTATTCCCAAATCTTGATTTTTGACATTATTACAACGGCCGGAGAATGTCCTGAACTTTGAGGTGAGGTCACACTGGACAACTTTACCCTCGTTACACCCGACCTCTTCTGGAATATCAATGAACTTTTTCAGGTCGATTTTTGGCAGGGCAGTCATGAGGTCTTGCATCTCGCTGGGATTAGGGCCTCTGTTTGATACACAATATGTAGGATATCGTCGTGTAATATCACAATATACATGTTATCTGCACGTAATATCACAATACTGTATTTCCCACACAAATTGATATATTATAATTAATAGATCTAATAATGTACACGATTATTCACTGTTTCATCAGGAGTTGATGAAGGCCTACCACAGGTGTATGAACTCCTGTCCAAAACCCAGTAAATCTTTCAAACAATTCTTAAATCAAATAGCAGACTGATTTACTTATTGTCTACGTCAACTTTACGTGTTAAACAGACCTGTTCATCATGGTAGAGACGAACCCCTGAGAAGCGAGTTCTAGCACAAGAGAATGATTAGAAATCATGCGAGCTTGTCTTTTTGGACGAAGAAATCCTAGGTGGACAGCTTCTGGACTCCCTTCCCTAGCAACGCCTGAAACGTAATTGTGAAGAATTAAATAACGACCACTTTACAACAAGCGTTTAAAATCCGAGTTTTTGATAATATCCCCATTCATTAAGTACAGTGATTACATATATTAAAACAAGAAGTTGGGTCTTCATGTAGTCTACAAACATGATTCTAAATACTGTTGGTCAGCAAGGTTCTCTGTGTCTGTTGAAGTTATACGTACCGTTAGTCAGCACGGTTCTGTGTATCTGTTGAAGTTATACGTACCGTTAGTCGCGTGGTTCTCTGTATCTGTTGAAGTTATACGTACCGTTAGTCACGTGGTTCTCTGTGTCTGTTGAAGTTATACGTACCGTTAGTTACATGGTTCTCTGTATCTGTTGAAGTTATACGTACCGTTAGTCACATGGTTCTCTGTATCTGTTGAAGTTATACGTACCGTTAGTCAGCATGGTTCTGTGTATCTGTTGAAGTTATACGTACCGTTAGTCAGCACGGTTTTCATTTCTGTTTCTTGTAGTTATACGTACCGTTAGTCAGCACGGTTCTGTGTATCTGTTGAAGTTATACGTACCGTTAGTCAGCACGGTTCTGTGTATCTGTTGAAGTTATACGTACCGTTAGTCAGCACGGTTCTCATTTCTGTTTCTTGTAGTTCTGCTGCTTGAAGAAAGGCGCGGTTAAGAGATTCTTTCAAAATTTCTTCTGGTACAGAAAAGTTTGACAACTCTGTAACAAAGTAAAACTTATTATATGGTTTTAAATTTATATAAAATCTCAACAATGAACTTAACATTCTAAACATAATTACTAAAAATCGTTTTTCTGTAAGGAATACTCACTGAATACAGTTGTTTGTCTGTAAGGAATACTAACTGAATACAGTTGATTGTCTGTAAGGAATACTAACGGAATACAGTTGTTTGTCTGTAAGGAATACTAACTGAATACAGTTGTTTGTCTGTAAGGAATACTAACTGAAATCAGTTGTTTGTCTGTAAGGAATACTAACTGAATACAGTTGTTTGTCTGTAAGGAATACTAACTGAAATCAGTTGTTTTTCTGTAAGGAATACTAACTGAAATCAGTTGTTTTTCTGTAAGGAATATTAACTGAATACAGTTGTTTGTCTGTAAGGAATATTAACAGACCTACATTTGTCTGAAGGAATACTAACTGAAATCAGCTGTTTGTCTGTAAGGAATACTAACTGAATACAGTTGTTTGTCTGTAAGGAATACTAACTGAATACAGTTGTTTGTCTGTAAGGAATACTAAATGACAGGGATTTTTGCAGTTCAAGCTAAGACCTTGAACTACAAGCTAAGACTGTGAACTACAAGCTAAGACCTTGAACTACAAGCTAAGACCTTGAACTACAAGCTAAGACTGTGAACTACAAGCTAAGACCTTGAACTACAAGCTAAGACCTTGAACTACAAACTAAGACTGTGAACTTCAAACTAAGACTGTGAACTACAAGCTAAGGCCTTGAACTACAAGCTAAGACTGTGAATTACAAGCTAAGACCTTGAACTTCAAGCTAAGACTGTGAACTACAAGCTAAGACCTTGAACTACAAGCTAAGACTGTGAACTACAAGCTAAGGCCTTGAACTACAAGCTAAGACTGTGAACTACAAGCTAAGACCTTGAACTTCAAGCTAAGACTGTGAACTACAAGCTAAGACCTTGAACTTCAAGCTAAGACTGTGAACTACAAGCTAAGACTGTGAACTTCAAGCTAAGACCTTGAACTACAAGCTAAGACTGTGAACTACAAACTAAGAGTGTAAATTACAAGCTATGTTACCTGTTTTCCATTTGGCGAGATCCATTCGAGATATAGTATGAGAAGAACAAGTCTGTTGAGAATTCCTAGAAAATAAATCACCAGGTGGCAGATCGTTCATGTTACAAACCACACGACATCTACCAGCTTAGCAAAATGGAATAAAGCCCGTCATAAACCTTAAATTCCTGAATTTTAGGAAATTAAAAACTAACATAAAAATTCAAGAGGGCTATATATTATTATTATTATTCTTGAAACGTTTATTGATATTTTGGTGTTTGTAGACGTTGGTGTTCTGTCAAACTATTTCAACATCTTAGTAAATTTACTAGCAATATTAAGAAATCGTAATATCATATTTTTACTTTCAAAAGTTATTCTAGGCTTCGCCAGATTAGTAGTTGGCCAGATCCTGAAATACAGATATCGTCATATTCAGAGTTAAAGATCCTTATACACCGCTAGTGGAGATTTGTATCTAAAACCCAAATACACCGCTAGTGGAGATGTGTATCTAAAACCCAAATACGCCGCTAGTGGAGATTTTTATCTAAAACCCAAATACACCGCTAGTGGAGATGTGTATCTAAAACCCAAATACGCCGCTAGGAGATATGTGTATCTAAATCCCAAATACACCGCTAGTGGAGATTTGTATCTAAAACCCAAATACACCGCTAGGATATATGTGTATCTAAAACCCAAATACACCGCTAGGAGAGATGTGTATCTAAAACCCAAATACGAAAATTAAGCGCAGATAAACCTTGTCGGGTATTGTGTGAACATCCGAAACGAAAATTAAGCGCAGATAAACATTGTCGGGTATTGTGTAAACATCCGAAACGAAAATTAGGCGCAGATAAACATTGTCGGGTGTTGTGTGAACATCCGAAACGAAAATTAGGCGCAGATAAACATTGTCGGGTATTGTGTAAACATCCGAAACGAAAATTAGGTGCAGATAAACATTGTCGGGTATTGTGTGAACATCTGAACGAAAATTAGGCGCAGATAAACATTGTCCCTAACCAACACAGTTACAATGGTTTACTGACAACAAAGAATCCCTAACCAACATAGTTACAATGGTTTACTTACAACAAAGAATCCATAACCAACACAGTTACAATGGTTTACTTACAACAAAGAATCCCTAACCAACACAGTTACAATGGTTTACTTACAACAAAGACTCCCTAACCAACACAGTTACAATGGTTTATTTACAACAAAGAATCCATAACCAACACAGTTACAATAGTTTACTTACAACAAAGAATACATAACCAACACAGTTACAATGGTTTACTTACAACAAAGAATCCCTAACCAACACAGTTACAATGGTTTACTTACAATAAAGAATCCCTAACCAACACAGTTACAATGGTTTACTTACAACAAAGAATCCATAACCAACACAGTTACAACGGTTTACTTACAACAAAGAATCCCTAACCAACACAGTTACAATGGTTTACTTACAATAAAGAAACCCTAACCAACACAGTTACAATGGTTTACTTACAACAAATAATCCATAATCAACACAGTTACAATGGTTTACTTACAACAAAGAATCCCTAACCAACACATTTACAATGGTTTACTTACAACAAAGAATCCATAACCAACACAGTTACAATGGTTTACTTACAAGAAGGAATCCTTAACCAACATGGTGGACGGCTGCATGAAAACATTAATATCAGCGTTGTCACAGAGAATTCTGGCCAGTGAAGTTTTTCGAATTTCCTTCAGTTGTTCTGGTAGTAAAAAAATAGTGTCATATTTCGGAAACGGTAAATCCTTCTCTGTCTTATTATTAGTCATGTGAACTATTTCTTTCAAATACAGCGAATTTGGTTGAACTTTACATATCAAGTTATTCAGAAACAACCAATTGTCTTAAACTTTACATATCAAGTTATCCAGAAACAACCAATTGTCTTAAACTTTACATATCAACTCATTCCCAATTACTAACTGTGTTAACCAGAGGGTTTTCATTTTACCTTTGTTGAATGATGAAGGGGGGATGTCGTTTTCATACCAAAATCTGTCACCTTTCTTCAACTGTTGAAATTGTTTGCCCAATAAGCACGCGAAAGTAGGTCCGACAACGGCGCCCTCTAGTGGACTTTCTGCCAAGCCACCAGTAAAGAGATCGATATCTTCAACATTTCTGAAATAAATATATGTTCGTAATCAAATATAAATTTTTTTCCTCGAGTGAGAAAATTGCCATTAGGACTAGTTTCCGAACATTGTGATCGCATCAGGAAATTCTCCCCCCCCCCAAAAAAAAAAAACAAAACCTACTTGTACAGACGAGCCAGTCTCTCGACAGTCTCGGGCAACAGTATCGCATTTAAATCGTTAAAATTGTGAATAGGTGGCAGCAGGTGACAAAACTTTCTCCACTGGATGAACCCTGGAATTCCGTGATCACGACCTTGTTGGATAATGATAGCTGCCATGTCCATGCCTTCCCCTGGAATATAGTTTGTCAAAGAATTACCAATTTTAAAAACAAAATATGTTACACGTGACTAGGTAACTGAATCAATAATAAGCCTAAAAAAATGTGACTAAAGAAGTAAAATCAACAACAAATTATGTACATTTGACTAAACATCTGAAGCAACAGACCATGTAAATTTGGTTAAACAGCTTATGTTAACAACAGACCATATAAATGTGGTTAAACAGATGATGTTAACAACAAACCATATCTATGTATATATGTTGTTAAAGAACTGATATTAACAACAGACCATATAAATGTGATTAAACAGCTTATGTTAACAACAGACCATATAAATGTGATTAAACAGCTTATGTTAACAACAGATCATATAAATGTGGTTAAACAGCTTATGTTAACAACAGACCATATAAATGTGGTTAAACAGCTTATGTTAACAACAAACCATATGAATGTGGTTAAACAGCTTATGTTAACAACAGACCATATAAATGTGGTTAAACAGCTTATGTTAACAACAAACCATATAAATGTGGTTAAACAGCTTATGTTAACAACAGACCATATAAATGTGGTTAAACAGCTTATGTTAACAACAGATCATATAAATGTGGTTAAACAGATGATGTTAACAACAGACCATATAAATGTGGTTAAACAGCTTATGTTAACAACAAACCATATCTATGTATATATATGTTGTTAAAGAACTGGTATTAACAACAGACCATATAAATGTGGTTAAACAGATGATGTTAACAACAGACCATGTAAATGTGGTTAAACAGCTTATGTTAACAACAGACCATACAAATGTGGTTAAACAGCTTATGTTAACAACAGACCATATAAATGTGGTTAAACAGCTTATGTTAACAACAGACCATATAAATGTGGTTAAACAGCTTATGTTAACAACAAACCATATAAATGTGACTAAACATCTGAAGCAACAGACCATATAAATGTGGTTAAACAGCTTATGTTAACAACAGACCATATAAATGTGGTTAAACAGATGATGTTAACAACAGACCATATCTATGTATATATGTTGTTAAAGAACTGATATTAACAACAGGCCATATAAATGTGGTTAAACAGCTTATGTTAACAACAGACCATATAAATGTGGTTAAACAG